GTCTCACTCTGTTCAGGTTCTCTCTTGCTTCTCAGCCTTCATCTTCCAGTCCACAAACATACATGTTTAGTCTGTTCATGAACAAGTTGTGAGTTCAGCATCTGTTACCATAAAATCTGACTTTCAGCTGAAAAGAAAGCAGGAGCTTTTTCTTCATGGTGTTCCCTGTCTTTACTGTTTGTTTTAATGATTATAAAACATGATGTGTATCCAGTGTCTTCTATATGATCAGAAGTGTTTTAACTCGTTCCACGGCTCGTCTTCTGCAGGTGGGAACTGCACGTTACATGGCCCCCGAGGTGCTGGAGGCCCGACTCAACCTGGAGAACATCGAGTCCTTCAAGCAGACGGACATTTACTCCATGGCGCTGGTGCTGTGGGAAATGACATCCAGATGTAAAGCTATTGGAGGTCAGTGTGCACAGATGGACACCATTACAAACAGTAATTCTATGCTCAGAGGCAAAGCAAAGCTTCTTGTTGAGGAGACGTGTCTGAGATGACTCAAACGATGGAGGCTAACTCTCTGCAGACTAGCTGTCAGTAAAATCATCGTGTTGGGTTTTTGCTCCACACTCAAAGGGGTTTCGTAGAAGCTCACAGTCTGGGACATGTTGACTCTGTGTGGTTTCTGACTCTGTTTGAAGTTAAAAGTGTTCGTTGTTGAACTGACATCTTACACCAAACTGTGGGTCAGTTCAGACATGTTTTAGACAATCTTTTCTAAAAGGCACTGAAAACCTTTAGTGTAAAACAGTTTTTAAGAAATTATTTTTGTTTTAACTAGTGGAGCAGAGGTTGGAGGAGGCCACTTGGAAAGGTGAAGAACACTGGACCTCTCTTTCCACAGCCACCTCTTCCAAGTGGACTCCAAGGTGTTCCCATGCCAGTCAAGAGTCTCTCCAGCATGTCCTGGGTCTTTCCTGTGGTTTCCTACCAGTTGAACATGCCTGAAAGACCTCCCTAGGAGGAGTCCAGGAGGCATCCTTACCAAATGAACCACCTCAGCAGGTTCCGCTCAATGTGGACGAGAAGCAGTTCTGCTCTGAGTCTCTCCTGGAGAACTGAACTCAGCCGATAAGCGAGAGTCCAGCTACCCTGCAGAGAAAACTCATTTAGACCTCCTGTATCTGAGACCTGTATCTTTCGATCGGTCTACAATACTGCAGAAGCTGCATCAATCCATCTGTCGATTTTGTGCCCTGTTCCTATGTCACTCCTGAACAAAACCTCAAGATACTTAAACTGATCCACTTGAGGCAGAACCTCACCCCCAACCCAGAAGAGACGCAGTGAGTTACAACCCTGACTCCAAAAGTATAATAAAAATGGGATAACTCAATAATCTGCAAATCTTATAAATCCATATTTTATTTACAGTGGATTGTTGTAAACATATCAGATGTTGAAACAGAGACATTGCACTGAAAAAAAATTAGGTAATATTAAATTTGATGGCAGCAACACATCTCAAAAACTTTGGGCTGTAAACGATCGTAACCTGAATAAGAAACAGCTGGAGGAGAATTTTGCAACTAGTCATGATTTTAAAAAAGTTTTTGTTTTTTAAGCAAGTTTTTACACAACATTTTCCTTCTCCGTGAGGTACTAACTTGTGTCTCTCTGTGAGGCTCAGATTCTGTAGTCAGAAGGTTCTGGTCTACAGTGGACGAGGATCTGTGTGTCAGCGGGGAGGCTGATGGTCCTGTCTGTCAGACTGAAGCTCACATTCAGCTCCAGGTCTCTGCAGCAGGAATCTGAGGAATGTCTGATGTGTGAGGGAGACAATCTGAACTCTGTTCTTCTCCTTCTTTGGGCAGAAGGTTAGGGAGGGGGGCGCTGAAGCCGTCACTGTACCTGTTCCAGCTGGCTGTGCAGACACTACGCATGGGAAGGGGGGTCCAGATTTAAAGAGAGAGTCTGGTCTTTTCAGAAGTGATGTTCTGTCCATCAGCAGTGGCATCAATCAAAGAACATCTTCCTCCAGGCTAGGCTAATAGCTAGCCAAATGAGGACTTATTATTTATTGTTTTTCAGACTTATAAAACAACTCTTCATTACATGATCTAATATTAAATCTATACACTCCAGCATGAAACCAGTTGTTTGATTTATAGAACAGAACAGTTATTGTCATTGCACAAGCCTGTACATTGAATTTGCACAGACAGTGTATTACAAAAAGACAGTAACATACATGTATATATAGTGTAAGTCTCACCAGAGCAGTGTCATCTGCATATTTGACACAGTATTTAACAGCCGGGGCGGCTGTGGCGGAGTGGTGAGGTGAGTCGTCCTGGAATCAGAAGGTCGCCGGTCCAGCCGTTTCAGTCGTTGTGTCCTTGGGCAAGACTCTTCACCCACCTTGCCTACTGATGGTGGTCAGAGGGTCCGGTGGTGCCGGTGCATGGCAGCCCCGCCTATGTCAGTGCACCCCAAGGCAGCTATGGCTGTAGCTTACTGCCATCAGTGTGTGAATGTGTGTGTGAAAAGCACTTTGGGGTCCAAGTGGACTTAATAAGGCGCTATATATGTTCAAGCCATTTACCGTTTACCATTTGATGATGGTATTGGTGGAATAAGAGAGGGTGCAGACATGGGTGTAGCTAGTGAATAGAAGTGGGCTCAGCACACAGCCCTGGGGAACGCCAGTGCTGAGTTTCAGTGTGGAGGAGCTGTGTGCGCCAATCCTTACAGACTGAGGACAAAATTTGTAAGGAAGTCCTTAATCCAGACGGAAGTGGTGGGAGGGAAGTCTAGGTCAGCCAGTTTGTCCACCAGGATGTCAGGACAGATGGTTTTAAAAGCTGAGCTGGTTTTTCAGTTGAACATCTGCGTTGTTACAAGAAGTGTAGATGGATGGTTGGCAGCATGACAGGTCAGTGGTTAGCACTGATGCCTTACAGCAAGAAGGTCCTGGGTTTGATCCCCAATTCCAACCTGGGGTCTTTCTGTGTGCAGTTTGCATGTTCTCCTTATGCTTGTGTGGGTTTTCTCCAGGTACTTCAGTTTCCCCCACAGCACAAAAACATGTACAATAGGCTGCCTTCAGACCCAGGCCTCCCTTGAAAAAGAGATCTGTGATCTCAATGGGATTTGCCTGGTTAAATAACGGTAAAATAAAAATGATGTATATTTTATGTTGATGAGGCTGCTGAGTGGATCAGTCCACCTGATCAACATATCTACGGGTAGTCAGTCTAAAAGTTTARTTTACTCCCTGCAGACTGATACAATAAGCACTGGGATCCTATAAAAACAGAATTCTTTACACAGATGAGTTTGTGTTTAGTCGATACTCCAAAAAGCAATAAGGAAGCCTTTGAAATCCTTCTGAGTTTTTCTGAAGAGCCTGAGACATTTAGAACGAGACACTCACATTCCAACATTTGTGAGTTTGTGTATTTTCTGCCTGGAGAGACGGGAATGATGGAGGTACCAGACGTCCCCATCTCGCCCTGTTTCCACATCTTAATCTGGATGTGTGTGTAAGTGTGTGTTAGTGTGTGGTTTTCTCTGTCTGCACRGCAACAACAGGGGACAGAACAGCGGACTGAAATACTAGCCTGCGCTGGCATTGTTGTTGTTTTCGGCTACAAGACATTCTCCGTGTGTCTCCGAGCATTTTATTTCTGTATCTTAAATTAACCTGCAGGGCGCGGTGGGGTCTGCGTGTTCTGTCTGAGCTGAGGGCATGCGGAGGAAATGGAGCGTGGCGAGGAGTTTGCTCAACGCCAAGAAAAAGACTTGAGGTCTGTGGAGGGAAACAGCTTTTGGCAACACTTGTCAAGAAATTGATGGTCTTATCCTGCTGCCCTGAAGGTGCTTTCAATCTGATGAGCAGCAGGGAGCAACCTTTACTGCTGGAAGAACAAGTGTTTCAGGAAAACACTTTGAGGGCCCAAAATTTAACTGACTCAAAGATGTTTTGAGCATTATTTGGGTACTGTTTAATATAGAAAAAMGGGCAATGCATTTTTTAAACTTAAACAAATAATGAAAACCAAGCCGGTCTTACTTTTTTCTATTTTCCTCTTCTCTAATGAGGTGACCAGTGTCGTTCGCAGAACTTCCCTCCCTGTTTTGTTTTAAACTGAAGCGATGGCTCGAACTGCTCTGGCGCTTACAGAGAACTTTAACTTTACTTCTTTCAAAACAAAAATGCACCGAAGAAGACTTCTGCCATGTTTCTGCCCCGGCCACAGCTCAGCGGGGTTCATGAGAGCGCCTGCAAGTTGCCACGCAACGGCTCGACAACAAACACTCTTAATTGGATGAGACGTGGGACGAAGGCCATCTAAAGCCAATAATGATCAAGATCCCGCCTCCCCGCCATAACCACTGAGTTTGTGTGTGTCTGTGTGTGTGTTACCCAGTGAACAGAGATCCAACTGAGAAACATAATGAAATAAATAAGTGCATCAACAGGCATTAAAAACATTATCGTTGATAAGCATCAGCTGCGTTAACGCGATAATAACGCGTCCACATGCCCAGCACTAATTTTTAAGTGTCTAATTTAGCTGTATCTGCCATTTGAAYGTCTGCTCCTCTAAGTAATATCGGTTTCAAGAATCAGCCAAAATCAATCAGCAGCACATATTGGGGATCGGTTAGACTGATGTCAAAACAATGTATGTTCCTTAAAAAACTTGTATCAGTTGATCTCTACTTTATAAGAGGCATGAGAATGACCTCAGTTTGTCTGTAAAGCCAGTGGGAGACACATACAGAATAAGTAGAGGAGGTTGAAAGTGATTTTACAGCTTCAAATGTTGTTTTTCAAATCTCTGGTCCAGCTCTGTTCGTAACATTTTGACGTACGTAAGCTTTTGTATTTCAGCAGTAAAAAAGGATTTCTACATTATGTATTAGTTTCTCTGGCCTCTAGAAATCATATTTGGACTATTGGATACCAAGATGCTTTAGAACAGTGTTTCCCAAAGTTGGGGTCGGGACCCAAAGTGGGGTCCCGAAACATCAAGGTGGGGTCCTGAAAAGATTTTCTGAATTAATTACATTTTTGCCTTAGTTGTTACAAAGGAGTGAGGTTAGGGTATTTAAAATGGATATCCATCCATCCATCCATCCATCCATC